AATATTATGGGTCATCAGAGAAAAGTAAATTAAGACCATAATGCAATACAATACCATAATATACCCACCAGAACAGCACAATAAAAAGACAGACAATGCCATGTATTAGTCAAGATATAGAGCAACTGGAACTTTTATGTGTTGCTGGAGGGAATGTAAATTAGTGTAAACACGTGGGAAAACAATAAATTGATGCAAAATTCATAATAACTACTAAAACTGAACATGTATATACTCTATGACTCAGTGATTCCACTCCCAAGTATTATAACCAACAGAAATGCATAAATTAAAAGTGCTCAAGTGCTTTGAGGTATTTATAAGAAGTTTTCAAAGCTGCTAATTTATGCACTTAAACTTTAGGTAGCAAAGATCTAAGAAATGGAAAGAAAAGTACTCGCACATTGTACTTTAGAAAGGAACTAGTTAGGCCGGGTGCAGTGGCTCACGCCTGTAATCTCAACACTTTGGGAGGCCGAGGTGGGTGGATCACTTGAGGTGTGGAGTTTGAGACCAGCATGGCAAACATGGTGAAACCCTGTCTCTACTAAAAATACAAAACTAGCTGGGTGTGGTGGTGGGCGGCTGTAATCCCAGCTACTCGGGAGACTGAGGCAGGAGAATCATCTGAACCTGGGAGGTGGAGGTTGCAGTGAGCCAACATTGTGCCACTGTACTCTAGCCTGGACGACTGAGCAAGACTCTGTCTCAAAAAAAAAAAAAAAAAAAAAAAAAAAAAAAGAAAGGAACCAGCTAGAGTGGGTATCCAAGGCAGGAAAGACCAGACAATTCTGGGGCCTAAAAGATAAAGCAATTGAGGAAAAGTAGTTATGATATCAATAGAAAATAGGTAATTCTGAAAGGCAGATAGTAATAATGGTAATGCGTGCCTCATACTTAGCAAGCTGTGTGTGTGTGTGTGTGTGTGTATGTGTATACACATACATATGCACACATGCGTTTGTATGTATATATATGCATTAAGCACTTTATATATTTTTTTAAAGTCTACAAGAGTTCTTGTAGAAGAGAAAACCCAGGCTCACAGAGTTTAAGAAACTTAACCAAAATGCACATAAGCAGTCAATTCTGGAGCTGTGATTCAAAGCTATATCTTGCTATCTCCAAAGCAATCCTCAAGGGTAAAAAGTTTGCTTTCTTTGCATTTCCTAAGAGTCCTGAACAGTCCTATTGCTACTGTTAAAAATACACCAGAAACTGCACACACAACAATGCATGTAAAAAAAGATAAAAATATTTTTTAAGTTAAAAATAATTTATTAAATATAAACAAGTAAATATTAGACCAGAAACAACATTTGAACTAAAAAGAAAAATATTTTTAAAAATTCAAAAAATTCATGGAAATGTATATTATGAAAAAAACTATGCATGGATATCAAAAAACTTTTGTACCAAAATAAACAATTACATGTCTGAACAGGATCTAGTTTGAGGCACTAAGAAGGATAAGACATTAGTTTGAAAAGAGTCCCTATTAAAGCAACATGAATTCTGCTAATGTTAAAGCAAAAAGAAACATCAAATTTCTATCAAAGCTTTAATGGAAGTATGATGAAATCACTGAGACCTTATGAAAAGTTTATGGGAACAATGACTCAAAGAAATCAGCAGTTTACAAATGGGTAATTTGTTTTAAGAAGGGACAATAAGAGTTTTTTGTTTTGTGTTGAGGCAGGGTCTCCCTCTGTTGCCCAGGCTGGAAGGCAGTGATGCAATCACTGCTCTCTGCAACCCTGACCTTCTGTATCAAGTGGTTCTCCCACTTCAACCTCCAGAGAAACTGTAACTACAGGCGTGCACCATTATGCTCAGCTAATTTTTAATTTTTTGTAGAGACAGGGTCTTGCTATGTTGCCAAGGCTGGTCTCAAACTCCTGGGCTCAAGCGATCTTCCTGCCTCCGCCTCTTAAAAGTGCTGGGATTACAGGGGTGAGCCACCATGCCTGGCTGACAAGATGATTTTGAAGATGAAGCCCATAGCAGCAGACCACCCTCATTGATTTGTAGGAAAAAAAAAATTAATCTTGTTCATGCCTTAATTGAAAAGGACCAGCAGAAATGATAGCCAATATCATAGACATCTCAATTGATTCAGTTTGACACAACTCTGGCTAAAAAATTAACGTTGAGTAAACGTTCCACTCAATGGGTGTCAAAAGTATTGCACTCAGATCAGCTGCAGATAAGAGCAGAGCTCTCAATGGAAATTTTAAATAGGTAGCATCAATATCCTGAAGCATTTCTTCGGAGAGTTGTAACAGGAGACAAAACATGGCTTTTCCAATATGATACTGAAGACAAGGCACAGTCCAGACAATAGCTACCAAGAGGTGGAAGTGGTCCAGTTAAAGCACAGTGGACTAGTGAAGAGCAAAGGTGGGCTAGATGCAGTGGCTCACACCTGTAAATCCCAACACTTTGGGAGACCGGGGCAAGAGAATCGCTTGAGCCCAGGAGGACAAGACCAGCCTGGCAACATAGTAAGACCCTGTCTCTTCAAAACTATTGTTTAAAATTAGCCAAGTGCGGTGGCACAGGCCTACAGTCTCAGCTACTCAGAAGGCTGAGACAGGAGGATCACTTGAGTTCCAGGCTTCAGTGAGCTATGATTGCACCACTGCACTCCAGCCTCGGTGACACAAAGACCTTGTCTCTTAAAAAACAACAAACAAACAAACAAAAAACAGAGTAAAGTTCACGGCAACAGTTTTTTGAGATCTTCTGGCATTTTGTTTATTGACTCTCTGGATGGCCAAGGAACAACAACATCTGATTATGAGAGTGTTTTGGGAAAGTTAGCCAAAACTTTAGCAGAAAAACTCCCAGGAAAGCTTTATCAAAGAGTCCTTCTCCACCATGACAATGCTCCTGCTCATTCTTCTCATCAAACAAGGGCAATTTGCATGAATTTTCAAGGAAAATCATTAGGCATCCACCTTACAGTTCTGACTTGGCTCCTTCTGACTTTTTTTTGTTTCCATATATATGTGTATATATATCTTTAAAACAAACCCATTTTCTTTCTTTTTTTTTTTTTGAGTGGGAGTCTGGCTCTGTTGCCCAGGCTGGAGTGCAGTGGCATGATCTTGGCTCACTGCAAGCTCCGCCTCCCAGGTTCACGCCATTCTCCTGCTTCAGCCTCCCAAGTAGCTGGGACTACAGGCGCCCACCACCACACCCGGCTAATTTTTTGCATTTATAGTAGAGACGGGGTTTCATCATGTTAGCCAGGATGGTCTCTATCTCCTGACCTCCTGATCCGCCTGCCTTGGCCTCCCAAAGTGCTGGGATTACAGGTGCGAGTCACTGCGCCCGGCCCCATTTTCTTTTAGTTATTCATGTAAAAAAGACTGCACTGACATGGTTGAAATCTCAGGACCATAAATTCTTTAGGAATGGACTCAACGGCTGCTATAATTGCTTACAAAAGTATCTTGACCTTGATGGCATTTATGCTAAAAAATAAAGTTGGCCGGGCATGGTGGCTCATGCTGGCAATCAATCCTAGCACTTTGGGAGGCCAAGGCAGGAGGATCACATGAGCTCAGGAGTTTAAGACCAGCTTGGGCAACATAGTGAGACCTCATCTGTATTTAATTTTTCTAAGAAATCATCTCTATTGAAAAATCTGAAATTAAAATTAAAACTGTTTCCATTTTTTATCTTTTAATTCCATTTTTCATTTTTATCTTTTAATTCCATTTTTCCACAAATTTTTTGAAGTGCTGTCATATCTTTTTCTCAAAGATATATAGTCCCAAATATAATTTGATGGTCCTTTTTTTAATCAAAAGCTAAACTGCAGAAAAAAAGAGATTCTTCCTAAATTCAAGTTCTCATACATCTTTCATCTTAAGAAGACACTTTCTAAATTATTTTGAATAACAAATGACTATATGTAAGACAAGCTTGCCTAACAAATGTATCAATCTTTACTACATGGGAGAAAACTTCAGATGGAATCAGTAACAACAAAAAAGATACTTATCAAGGATATGGTAATATGATAATTATCCCTGAAGAATGTTTCACACTTACAAATGTAGAATATCATTTTAAAGTCTCTAAAGATTACTTTAAAAATTAGTATACTAAGTAGTTACAACATAGTGAAGCTTATAACTCAAAAAGACAAGTGAAAAAAAAACCTGTGGTTGTAACATTATATTAGCAGGTACCTGTTACAGAATTGTACATGGATTCAAAAGTACTGGATCTCAAACAACTTAAATAATAATAAATATGGTATTCTAGAAAGCCATGGTAGATAACTGAAAAAATACTCCTAGTAATGACAAGAATCTGAAATGTGAGAGTAGAAAAAAACATTTCTAAAATAATATTTACATATATGGTTTTGAATTCACATTTTTCTAAAATAATAAAAATGGAAAAAAGATATGTATAGGAAAGTGTAAAATAGCATTAATCATAACAAACAAGATGTAAAAACTACCAAATTTCCATCAGTAATAGAATGGACAGATAATAGTATAGTCTTAATGTAATACTATATAGCAATGAGAATGAATTACAACTACATGCAATGACAGGGATAGATCTCATAAAGATAATCCTAAAGTTCAAAAACAGGTGAAACTATTCATGGATAGTAGTTCCCACTGGTGGGGTGGAGGATGGAAACAAGGGGATATGGGACACAAGGGGACTTCTAGGATACTGGTCATTTTCCATGTGTTTATCTAAGTCCTGGTACATGGGTGTGTTCAGTTTGTGAAAATTTATTGAGGATTTATGTAAAAGATGCCAGTACACTTTTGTATATGGAGTACAATAAAAAAGTTAAGAACATTTGGAGGACACTATATACCTAAGCTGTCACGAGCCAAGAGATCACACATGTATCAGCCAGTTGGGCCTCATGGGGTGGTCAGCAACCTTTACTCATTCGTGTCAAGAGCCATATCTCTTGTGATCAGCAGCGTTATATAATGCACATATGTCCTGACCCCTACCATCCCCAGACTCCTGCCAAAACACCACAACGCTCCTTTCTTCTTTGCCCATGGTGAAATAAAACAATTTCATTGCTCTCCTCCAAATTTCCTTTCCCTGAAAATCCTTTAAAGTTCTCTAAAGGATGGTTCTGACAAGGAAGCAAGAGATTTCCTTTATCTCCAACTTATTAAATAAATACCATATTTATTAAATAGTACTTTATATACATATTTAATTCCCAAAACTCCTACAAGGTAAATATTATTATGCCCTATTTACAAGTGAGCAAACTGGAAATTAGAAATCAGTGAGTGACAGGATGGTGTGTCTGCCTCTAATGCCCAAGCTCAAAATTCACACAATTTTACCCTTCAATAATCAGGTTTCCTTGATTACAGTGTATCAAGGGTGCTCACTTGCATGCTTAAGAGGATAAGCATTATCTCTAGCATTAGATTTGAGAAATGAGGTCACAGTGAAGGAATAGAGTCTAGCAGTGATAGGCTAAGGAGGGAGGGACAATGCGTGAAAATAATCAAGTATGGAGAACTGCTGTGTTCAGTTAGAGAGTAAGGCTGGGGTAGGGCTGTGGCCTTTGTATGGATCAGATATACTAAGGTTATTCATCAAGAGGTGCTGGAAAATCAAGAAAATAACACATAAACTCAGAGTCTTAAGAATCTCTAAATCCCCTAACAAAATATGTAAAATGAACTTAAATTTTATTAAGAGAATGAACTTGTACATCCTTGAAGACTTTTTTCTCCTAATTGTTCTTACCCCATTAGTCTCCACATTCATTTGCTCATTCATTCATTCAACAAATACGTTCTGAATGTCTGATGTGTAGTAGGCATTGCCTTGAATTGTGAAAATAAAGGAACTTGCCTTCTGGTGGAGAACACAAACAATAAACAAATATATAACATTATAGTTGTGCTTGGTATGCTAGAAGACAAAAAATAAGGAAATTTTCTAATAGAAGAAACATAGTGATGTAATGATGATACACGAAGAAAGCAGAGTGACAAGGTGACAGGAAAATGGGCTATTTTAAATAGATCACGAAAGATCTACAGAAATGATTTTTTTTAGTAAAGACTTGCTCTATACCTAACTTCTTTAATTACATGATATGCTGTATTCTGCTTTATTTATTTGTTTAGAGACAGGGTCTCTCTTTGTCACAGAAGCTGGAATGCAGTAGGATGCTCACAGCTCACTGCAGCCTCAACCTCCCAGGCCTAAGCGATCCTCTCGCCTCAGTTCCCCAAGTCACTGGGACTACAGGCACGTGCCACCAGACCTGGCTAATTTTTGTGTTTCTTGTTGAGACATGGTTTCACCATGTTGCCCAGGCTGGTTCAAGGAATCCACCCACCTCAGCCTCCCAAAGTGCTGGGATTACAGGAGTGAGATATGACACCTCTGCTTTATTTTTAAAATAAGTGTTTATACTGGTTTTAGATTGTAACTTTAAAATATTTCTTTAAAACTTTAATTTGTGCAGCAGCAATAGAAAGAAAAATAAATAAATAAAATATTTAATACCTTTTTTTTTTTTTTTTTTTTGAGACAGAGTCTCGTTCTGTCACCCAGGCTAGAGTGCAGTAGCATGATCTCAGCTCACTGAAACCTCTTCTTCCCAGATTCAAGCGATTCTCCTGCCTCAGCCTCCCGAGTAACTGGGATTACAGACATGTACCACCACGCTCAGCTCATTTTTTGTATTTTTAGTAGAGACAGCGGTTTGCCATCTTGGCCAGGCTGGTTTTGAATGCCTGGCCTCTCATGTGATTCACCTGCCTCAGCCTCCCAAAGTGCTGGGATGACAGGCATGAGCCACCACGCCCAGCCAATAAAATACTTCTTTAAAATTTAAGTTCATCTATGATTCCACAGGAAAAATCAACTTTATTTTTACATAATCATTTAAGATTAAAAAGTAGAGTCAAGGAAACAGTTTACAGCCAAGCTGATTACAGGATTACATGCCTGTAATCCAAGCACTTTAGGAGGGCTAGGCAAGAGGATCGCTTGAAGCCAAGAGTTTGAGACCAGCCTTGACAACACAGGAAGACTCCGTCTCTACAAAAAGAAAAAAATTTTTAAAAAAGTTAAAAATTAGCCGGGCATGGTGGCACTCACCTGCAGTCCCAGCTACTCAGGAACAGGAGGCAGGAGTGGTGTGATGGAGCATACCTGGAGTCCCAGCTACTGCGGAGGCTGAAGTACAAGAATTGCTTGAGCCCGGGAGGCAGAGGTTGTAGTGAGCCGAGATCATGCCATTGCACTCCAGCCTGGGGGACAGAGGAAGCCTCTGTCTCCAACAAAAACAAAAAAAAGAGGAGGCAGGAGGATCATGGAGGATCACTTGAGCCCAGGAGTTTGAGATTACAGTGAGCTATGATTGCACCACTATACTCCAGCCTGGGCGACAAAGTGAGACCCAGACTCCAAAAAAAAAAGGGAAAAGGAAAAAAAAAAAACCGTTTACCAGTATAAATTCTTTAACACGGTTGGAGAATGTATTAGCATTCAGTAGACTCTGCCAGGATCACTTATCCATGCCCTCTCTTACGTCTTTCCAACTCTGGTCCTCATGTGTCTATTTTCTTTTTGTCTCTCTTATTGCACATGTTTCATCTCCTTCTCATTCATCCTCCTTTATTTTTCTGTCTTCAAACAACTCCCCTTCCATTCTCATTAACCACTCCTGAATGTTTTCTTGTTGACTACATAATTTTACAGTCCATAAAATTTTTGTTGTTGTTGTTGTTGTTGTTGAGACGGAGTCTCGCTCTGTCGCCCGGGCTGGAGTGCAGTGGCCGGATCTCAGCTCACTGCAAGCTCCGTCTCCCGGGTTCACGCCATTCTCCTGCCTCAGCCTCCCGAGTAGCTGGGACTACAGGCGCCCGCCACTTCGCCCGGCTAGTTTTTTGTATTTTTTTAGTAGAGACGGGGTTTCACTGTGTTAGCAGGATGGTCTCGATCTCCTGACCTCGTGATCCGCCCGTCTCGGCCTCCCAAAGTGCTGGGATTACAGGCTTGAGCCACCGCGCCCGGCCCATAAAATTTCTTTTTAAAGTAGAGTTGTGGAATGATTTAGAATTCTCTCCAAAACAAAACAAGAAACATGACCTGTGTTTTTTTCTCTAGAGCCCTCAGGTTTCATTTTAATGGCTACCCCAGATATTACAACATGCATCCTTAACTTACTTCAGTCTAATAAAAGTTTGTGTTTTTACATTTCCCAAACAAAGGACTTTAGAACCCTATAACTCTACTTTTTCTCATACCTTTTCTGTTCTTGCATTTCATTCCTACATATATATTTAATCTTGCAAGACATTATTTTGTATAGTCAGTATCTATTTAGTCACCCACATACTTAAACTTTCCAACGCTCTTCATTTCTTTTTGCATTTCTTCCTTCCACCTGGGATCACTTCCTGTCATCCTGAAGAATTCCCTTTGGTGTTCCCTTTACTATATGTCTTCTGTTGACAAACTGTCTCAATTTATGTTTGCATAAAAATGCATTTTGCCTTCATTCATTCATTCATTCATTTTGAGACAGAGTCTCGCTCTGTTACCCAGGCTGGAGTTTATTTTATTTATTTATTTATTTTTTTATTTATTTATTTATTTATTTTGAGACACAGTCTCGCTCTGTCACCCAGGCTGGAGTGCAGTGGTGCGATCACAGCTCACTGCAACCTCCGCCTCCCGGGTTCAAGCAATTCTCCCGCCTCAGCCTCCTGAGTAGCTGGGATTACAGATATGTGCCACCAAACCTGGCCAATTTTTGTATTTTTAGTAGAGATGGTGTTCACCATGTTGGCCAGGCTGGTCTCAAACTCCTGACCTCAGGTGATCCACTCACCTTGGCCTCCCAAAGTGCTGGGATTACAGGCATGAGCCACCGCGCCCAGTTTGCCTTTATTTTTGAAGAACATTTTTGCTGGGCATAAAATTATAGGCTGGTAGTTTGTTTCTTTTACTTCTTTGAGGGTAAAAAAAATTCCATTCCATTTTTCCCTTGTTTACATTGTTTTAGTTGAGAAGTCAACTTATTATTGTCCCTTTGAAGATAATACACTTTTTTCCCCCTCTGGCTGCTTTTAAGATATTCTCAACATTTTTTCCCCCATTTCTGCAAAGATACATACAGTCTACACCAGCATAAGGGAAACTCAAGAAAAGGGAATTGGTTTAGACCAGTTGCACAATGACATCTCTAGAATGGTTTTCTCATATTTATTCTGCTTGGAACTTCTGAATCTGTGGCTTGAGGCATTTTATCAGTTTTAGAATACTTTCTGCCATTATCTCCTCAAATGCTGCCTCTGCCCCATTCGCTTTGTCCTCTTCTTCTGGAATTGTGTATTACCTACTGTGTATGACCATCAGTGGTCTTGAATTCAAGATGACATTCATACCCCAGGATACAAAAGGTGGTAATGTTACATCAGTTTTACTTAGCTTTTTATGAGAACTTAGGACAGAAACACAGAATGTCAGGATGGCATAATCAAAAACATCTTCATCAGAAGTTCTTAAGATATTCAGTTGCTACTTTCATGCCTCCTCAATCACACAGGGGTACATGAAGTTGTGAAGGCCATATGAGTGGATACAGTATACTCCAGCATATACAAGCCTCAAACAAGAAATACTTCATATAATAAGCTCATTCTTGTAGCTTCTAAGCCTCCCACCAGGAGGTGCTTAAGTGTGAAGAGATACCTTAAAAGGGAACTGGAGGTCTGTTTCCCTGTAAGTTTTATGCTGGCAGAAATGGTGAATAATGTAGTCTCTTGGGAGTATAACATGTCCATTCGTAGTCCTCCCAGTCCAAATGCAGTTAACCAATCACAGGTCATTTTTACAATAAATATTGTTGTTTGGCAATAGAACTGATAAATCACATTTATCTTAGTCTATGTCCAGAGAAACTATATTAAAAGAAGGTAAACCTGGGGTTACCGTTTTACAGGAAAAAAAAAAAAAGGAGGCTTGCAATTAACTTTTTCTATATGGGTTCCAATAATACATGTATTAGACTT